CGAAAGTCAATGTGTCCTCAGCATCTTTGGAGCCATTGAACGACCATCGAAACTTTACTTCGGGCGGTTCTGCATCGACGTCACAGTAAATAGTAACAGGCTCGTCGAGTACCGCTCCGTAAACCTTCTGCTTCGATTTACAGACCGGAGGAACTGGAAAAAAATAAAAAAATTGAAGGAAAACCGTCATATGATTTTAATCTTAAAATTATCTATACAAAAGAATAAAGAGATAAAAAATTAGCTCGAAAACAATGCAGTGGAGAACCATAACCATACTTCAGTTACATGCCTAGATCTAAGCCATATATTTATACTAAAATAAAGTAAGTTTCAAAGAAATATATTTTGCTTAATTTAAATAAGCGTTTCAATGGGAAATAATAGTATATATATATATATATATACATTATCTGTTTCTTAGAACAAGGGCAAAGTATTGTTAAGAGACATTTTAGCCTTTTATTTCCTCTTTATTGTTCATTCTCCCGATGGCTCAGCAGCAAGCTACGGCGCTTCTAATAGTGAAGTTCGGGGTTCAATACCAATGGCGAAGAAATCTCGAATAGTCCATTATGTAGCTTTATTCTAAAACAAATATTTGTCATCCCTATTTTTTAACAAGTGTTTGTGAGTTGTAATTCTGTTGTATTGGGGTGTTTGCAAAAAATGTTTTTTTTAATGAATAACTGTTCGAACAAGCTTGTTTCCAGGATTATCTGATAACGTTTAAACTGTAAGAGTTAAAAAATATTTCTGACTTCTGTATTTATTTATTTGTTTCCATATTTTGTTCAGAATGTTCGGGCAAAGCTATACAAAAGGCTATTTACACACAGCTATCTCTAATCTTGAATCAATATATTAGAAGGAAGGCAGTTAGTTAAAATCCTCACTTGCCAACTCTTACGCTACTATTTTCTGACCGAATAATGGAATTTGATCGTCAGTCTTATAACAACTAAGGTTTCTAAAGTTCGGAACAGGCCGCAAAACATGAACCTCGAGATTCATAGTCTGAACACGCTAACTACTACTATATTTAAGGCAAATCAGAAGTAGTTATCTGCAGCACAAGTTTCCACATTAACATTATAAAGAATGTGAGTAATCTCTTAGGATTTTCATTACATTCAGTCCTGTTACAAGCGCATGCGTGATCATAACAGAGAGTAATGTGTACTGCATAGAGTAAAAACACTTAAACACTGCATGTTTACAGCTTTAACAGTGTATTGTTACAGCTCAAGTATCACGTTATCAGTCCTTATTCTTTCTTCTGTATATAACTTGTCAGTTTGTGCACATACGCAAGGGAGAACATGCACGCCTTTATCCTCAGCTGTACGACCACACATAGATTTGTATAGTCTCCAGTCATGATCTGCATATGTATACACTAGTGTGGCTGTTACGGCTGTTTGGATCGTTGGAACATTTCAATAGCGAGATCCTATCTACTTACATTGAATACGCAACAGCACAGGCTCACTCTCCCCTTTTCCTTCTACGTTTGTTGCAACGCACGTGTAGAGTCCTTTCTTGTTTCGAGTAACTCCCTGGAGTACTAAAGAGTGGTTGGTGACAATAATTCCCTCAGATTTGTTTGTATGAAGCTCTCTTCCTTCAAACATCCAACCGATTTCTGATACCGGAGGATTGGCAATGGCGTGGCATTCAAAAAATATATCATGCCCCCTCTTTACAACTGCATCAGTCAGGTGTCTGGGGATATTAACGTTCACTTTTGGTACATCTGAAAGAAGCAGAGATCATAAGCTTTTGTAAGGTTAGGTAAAAGCCTTGTCATTGTTTATGTTTTATACGTGGTATAAAAATACAAAACAGTTTAACTAAACTGTAAACTTATATCTTATATTGTTATCCTATGCGAAAATACATTTTATATCGAAGGTTTCAATAACACGAAACTATGCCACCCTCATAGAAGTTCCATTAGTAATATTATGTTAGAAGTGGATATGTCATTTAAATAGCGTTAACTTTTCTGCTTCATTATTTGTAATATTCACTAGACTAGACTGCATCGCGATCAGAATTTTTTAATAACAAATTATCAGTGTAACTTAACAACGGTTGATCATACGTTTCTCTCTCTAACATAATTTCAAATAAAACAATTCCCTCACTGACTGTGTCTTCCATAGATTTTACATAACAAGAATCTTATGCAAAATGTAGCTTTGATAAACAAAAGTGGTTTATTTTTTTCGATTACTTATATATTTTGATTAGTCTACTATTTCTCAATATAGCATGGATATCAACACATAAAGTAAAATATCCCTATCGATCTATCACCAATAGAGCTAAAAAACTCACAATAAACTGTCAATATCTTTTCTTCTTGAACTGCACTGTCTGCTATGAAAGGGTTTTCGGCGCGACAGATGATGGTTTTTCCATCATCTTCCGAAGACGGACAGAAGGCTAGATAGCTGGTAGTGACATTGCCGTCAACCGACACGGAGGCCTTAGTGTTCTTCAATCGTGTTTCCCCAGACCACCAAGTAATCACTGCGGCAGGTCGAGAACCAACAGCCTTGCAGACTATCTGGGTAGACCGTCCAGCTGAAAAGATCTGGTCCTCAGTTTGTACTTCTACTACCAGAGGTCTAACTAAGAAACAGTGGGAAAAGCATTATTTTCTGGAATGAACTTACAAAACAAAGAACCTTAATAACAGCTAAAAGGAATGAGTCAATCATAAGTGTGTGTGTGTGTAACTGTAAGCTAATATGTTTAAATAAATGCAACGAATTCCATTTCTCCTTACCCTTTTTTATAAATAACCAAGGATATATTTGTATTTTACCAAAGTTTGACATCGTTATTTAACGCTTTGAATTTCGGCACACTTACATAGCACACTAAACGCATGCGTTTCTTATTGTTAGAACTATATATCAATATACACACAAAATAATATTATTCGTTGTTATCTATTTTAGAATATTTTGTAGATAGGATGTTTAATGATGTTGAACATTTAGTGATTTTATATGGGCAAGTTTAATTATGTTGTTCATGGAATGTTTATATATGAACATGTTTACTGATGTTGTACATTTAGTACTTTTATATGAATATGTTTAATAATGTTGTACATTCAGTGTTTTTATATGAACATGTTTAATAATGTTGTACATTCAGTATTTTTATATGAATATGTTTAATAATGTTGTACATTCAGTGTTTTTATATGAACATGTTTAATAATGTTGTACATTCAGTATTTTATACGAACAGTGTTTTTTATGTGCATGTTTAGTGATATTGTGCGTGTAGTAATAATAAAAGAACACAATATCATGTACAGCAATTAGTGAAAAAAAACACAGTAAACGGAACAAACTGTCAGAAGTCTGATATCAGGCAATATTGGTCAACAAATGCCTACGTGACTCCTAATATTGGAACTCTCTTAAGGACACAGGAGATCAGGAAGTTTTTCCTGCCAGAAGACAGCGTGAGTCTGAAGAGGACGCACGAATGTACATGTAGTGTTTTAATATGAGCATGTTTAATGATGTTGTGGATGTAGTGCTTCTGTATGAATATTTTTGACATTTGACATTTGTTTACATAGAAACTAACTTAGGGAAGGAGAGAGGTCACTGGCATTGTTTAATACCCATAATTGTGCCTTTTTACAACTAGAATATAGAACATTCTGATTATTGGTTCTGGGTAGTGTACATTTATATTTTCAGACAAGTTGATTGTGCTTGAAAATGAGCAGTTTCATATAGCAGTGGTGGAAGTATTAGTTGTTACATTAACTTCTATGTGCTGCGATATGAAACTAGAAGCGATATATGGTATAGAAGTGCCGACATGTTATTAGCGTTGCATATTCATGATTTAATTTATTTTGATTGCCTCATATTTTCCCGAGAATTAACATGTTGAATAAGTTAGGCAAAAAAAACAACAACATATATTGGATATGTTTGAATATGATTTAGCAAATGAAGATATTTCCTTTTATTTATTCGACGTTAGTTTCACTTAAAGTATTTCTCCATTTTACATATAGACCTAGGCAGCCGTGTGTGGACGCTACTTCCAAACAAATAATGTTCTTCCAGCAGTTAGGTTAACGTAACACCTGTATTTACAATGTCAGTAGGATGAAGCTCTCTAAACTATCAAGGAAATGTATCGTAATTAATAACGGGACATTCAGAAGAGATGTATTGTCATCTACATTATCAATGTTCTTGGTGTGGGTTTGTTGGCATGTATTGTCATCTACATTATCAATGTTCTTGGTATGTGTTTGTTATAATGTCTTGTCATCTACATTATCAATGTTCTTGGTGTGAGTTTGTTGGCATGTCTTGTCATCTACATTATCAATGTTCTTGGTGTAGGATTGTTGGCATGTCTTGTCATCTACATTATCAATGTTCTTGGTGTGGGATTGTTGGCATGTCTTGTCATCTACATTGACAATGTTCTTGGTATATATATTTGTTATAATGTCTAGTCGTCTACATTATCAATACTCTTGGTATGTGTTTGTTGAAATGTCTAGTCGTCTACATTATCAATACTCTTGGTATGTGTTTGTTATAATGTATAGCCGTCTACATTATCAATACTCTTGGTATGTGTTTGTTATAATGTCTAGTCGTCTACATTATCAATACTCTTGGTGTGTGTTTGTTATAATGTCTAGTCGTCTACATTATCAATACTCTTGGTATGTGTTTGTTGAAATGTCTAGTCGTCTACATTATCAATACTATTGGTATGTGTTTGTTGAAATGTATAGCCGTCTACATTATCAACACTATTGGTGTGCGTTTGTTGATTGTTATTTTGATCCAAAAGGAAATAAAATCTAAGCATCCTTGGTATAACATAATAGTAGAACTTTGTATGGAATATGTACATTCTGAATATCTACGGACATCCGAAACCAAAACCTAAGTGTACAACATTTAAAGATGTTCTGTATTCTACCTTGTTTGTGAGTACACAATTTGCAGCCGAGTTGTGTCTATAAAATGCTAGTTATAATTTTAAATTGATTTGGAAAACTTATTTTTATAATAATATTCTAGCACTCGGAAGAATACGAGGATATAGCAGAATATTTCTCCACTTCCTGAACACTGACAGTTCAAGTTTAACAAGGAAAAATACAGAATATAGCAGAATATTTCTCCACTTCCTGAACACTGACAGTCCAAGTTTAAAAAGGAAAAATACAGGATATAGCAGAATATTTCTCCACTTCCTGAACACTGACAGTCCAAGTTTAATAAGGAAGAATACAGGATATAGCAGAATATTTCTCCACTTCCTGAACACTGACAGTCCGAGTTTAACAAATATTTGTTCTGTGACTGCAGTATTTTTGTGAATTTAATGAAACAAGCACCAGACATTTTAATTTTGTTCCAATGCGTGAAGTTTTACCCGTGAAAATGATGGTAAGAGATTGTTTGTATTGTTGCCTCATATAATACAAAACTTTTTAATCTCCTCGATACTTGTAAAAATGTTTGTAAACAATCTTACTCACAGTTCATGTCGACAGTGACAGTTGTAGTTAGAGGTTTAGAAATGTTGTTATTTTTTGCTTGACAACTCAGAGCAGCCATCAGGTCATGCCTCTGTAAAGAATTAATGCTCAACTCGTTGACTACTTTTCTCTCATTTGTTACGTGGACGTAGGTATCATCCAATAAAACAGACTCTCTCCACCAAGTCAGTGAGGGTGAAGGATTTCCTAATAAACACATGACATATAAAACATAAAGTAACAAGTTATACGTAAATAATTGCTTATTGCCATTAATAAAAGTCCCATTCGTGATTACTAACGTTTGTAAGTGTTGAATTGCTTGAAGTCTTATTCGTCATTATCCGGTTTGATTGTACTTTAGAAATGAAAGCTAATTTAAAATCGGAAGATGGCATTCTAGACGAAAAAATCTTTCCGCAACAAAAACTTAAAGTGATTCGTCTTTAGCTCTACATGTTTTACAACCATATAATTAACATTCATTTCAAACTCTCATAACTTAGTTTAAAATAAATTCACATTATATTGTTAAATCGAATTATTTCTATAGTTACAGTCACATACTAAGCCTAATTATTTTTTTATGCTGCTTATCATACTTCGTTTACAGTTCTATTCATTACTATAATATCATCAATATGCAAAACTTTGTAACGACCTTCTGTTAACCCAAATCTTTATTTAGTAACAGCTACTTGATGATACACGTACTGTGAATTATTAGTTTCCAGAAATAATATATAATTTTACCTTAAAACCATATTTATATCATATTTGTATAACAGCTGTTTCCTAAATAAACCTCATTCAGTACTACCGAAAAAGGTTTATGATTTTAGATAAGAGTAAAATATAATGTCTTAGAGATCACCAAGTTTTGAAGTTATTGTTCATTACATCATAAACCATTTTGGAGACATTACTTGTAAAGGTAACACTTGTGATGTGAAATACTCTGTCGAAAAGAAAAACATATCTCGTTTTGATATAACAAGTGAAAGAATGGCTTCTTTTTCGCAAATTCAATGTATGAAATTGGTTTACTAAGATCTGTAGCAAACAATACGGAGTTCCTCGTTCTAATCTCTTAAGAAAACATTTTTCTCGTGCTATGTATTCAGGACAATATGAATATAAGTTGAGTTTAGCGCACGTTCTTAAATCTGTACCGTTGTATCACTATCTGAACTATAACATCACCACTATTACGTGATTCCTATTGTGCTATCAAAGAGGTGTTAAAGATTACTACCTCCTTCCGCTTCACATCGGAGAACAAGTCTGTCCCTTTCGTTGTATGGTCCAATCAGGCTTCTTAACACCTGTCCTTTCTCATTGTTGATTACCGGTTTTTCTGGCGGGACTGAAAAAACATAAACAAACTAACTAGTTTCTCATTTGGTACACGTTAAATCAACTTATCACCATTATAAGCCACTTATTATAAGTTTCGTTTAGCACTAGAATCATAAAAAGAAATGTAACATACATATTCGTAATATTACATATAGTAGCGGAAACCTAACTTGTAAGATATTATACAAAATGAATTATGTTTGATGTTATTAAACACAAATTGTGACCTGCGAATGTAAATTCAAAAGACAATGAAGCACCAACTAATAACACAGAAGGACATGCAGCGCCACATAATAGTGCGGAATAATAATGAACGATTTAGGCATTTTACAAAAATAAGCATATATATTACGCATTAATCTATCAGCGATACACTTACTGCATAACGAAAACAAAACGTAATCCTCTTCCTAGTATTTAGTGTGCTGTAATTACACGTCTCATAAGTAAGCTTCTGATAAAACACTAAGAAGAAGAAAGTGCTATAATAACATTTACGAAGTGCATATAAACTTATTTCCTCATCAAAACGACGACAGATTACATGAATAACAATACCCAATCACACACACACAAAACATGATCTCCAATGTTTAAATATTTCACCATCAAATAATACATGTCCTTAATATCCTTTGTGTACCTACATACCCTATATTAATTCAGCTAGTAGCTTTGTATGTATGTCTACTGAGGAGAAAATACTGTCTAATAATTATAAGTTTAAATATAATTTTAGCAATTAAAGTTATATATACTTTAGCTTGTATTATATTAAGCAGTATATTCAAGTAAAATAAAAAATTATACTTGGGAATAAAATAATCTAAGTAACGTGTAACAAATACTATTAATAGTGTTAACAGTCAATAAGGAATTTTATTAATGTTTAAAGAAAATGCATGAAAAATTACAGCAATCATATTTTTCGGGAGTCTCCCTTTTTGGTTGTATACAGAAAAACTGACGAGCCTGATAATATTTTTATGAAAATTATTTTAGAGGGTATTTGAGGATTTTAACACAAATCTATGTTTTATGAAAATTGGTTCATTTCAGAGTTGTTGTTTTTCTTTTCCTTTTTGTTGTCAAGCACAATGCTACACAATAATGTGCCCACTGCAGAGATCGAACTCTGAATTTTGCCATTGTAAGCCTTCAACTTTAGTGCTGAGACTACCGTAATGAGTAAATCGTCAACCTTTCAGGAGACATAATTTCGAATGTTGTGTGTTGTAAGTTGTTCTAAGCCTTTTTTAAGATTATTTATGTAAAAGATTCAACATTTTGATCCAACTTTTGATGTGTTCAGTTATGACGTCATTTCTCTCTTGGTGATAGTCGATGTCCAAGAAGCTTGTGATATTGTTTTTTATAAAGATTCACTATAGAAAAACAAGAAACACATAAAACTTTATCATTTCTTAACAACGTCCTTATACATAGGTCAAGTCAAACTTCTCCGCGAATAGTTACCAAACTCACCTGTACATAACTTGGAATTCACATCATCTCACCTATTAAAAACAGGCATTTTAAAATTTTAATTTCTAATGCTACAATTATTTGAAATTTCCAAAACATTTGGAATTCAGAATTCCAACATTTAAACTCCTGTTTTCTTTGCATTAACAAATTTCCTAAAACTAACGTCGAAAACACATTTACTAACATTCGTAGGTATGCACAATATGATGTCCGTGATAATATCAACTTAAGAAAAGACACCAACAGTTGCTCTTTAACCTACATTCCCGGTCTTTTTCACGCACCAAAAAGATTATGGTTTCGTCTGTGTAAAACACACAATATTAGTGTAAATGTTAAATTTAATTTTACTCCCGGTACAAAAGTAGGAAATATTCTATCTAACAAGTTCCAAGATAACCATAATAGTAAGGTTGTTTATGAAACCGAATGCCAGGACTGTACATCAAGCTACGTGGGTGAAAACTCAGTACCCTATAAACAAGTACAATCATGGACCTTTTTCACATCTTTCAACGTAAACAGAACTTTAGTAATAAAATCTTCTCTCATTATTTTCACATAATGTCTAAGGAAAACTGAAAGAGAATCAAGGAAGCTCTATTGATCAAAATTTCAACAAACTTCTACAAACAGCCTGATACCACTCACACTATATTTATTCAACAATGGTATTCCAGCTGCTTTATGACTGATTCACTTACATTTTTGTATTTTCAGGTTTAATTCCCTAGCACCCACTCGTATTTTGTGCCTGATAATAATATAACAAACAAGACTTGTTGAAAACGTTGTAATTTGTCTTTTCTCGTTTTTCACTTTCCTGTATAACCAGTCATAAAACAAGTCTTGTTTGAAAAAGTTGTAATTTGTCTTTTCTTTTTTTTTCACTCTCCCCATATAACCAGTCATAAAACAAGTCTTGTTTGAGAAAGTTGTAATTTGTCTTTTATTGTTTTTCACTTTCCCATATAACTGTTTTATAACTAATCAGACTTGTCTCATTTTATAATAATAAATAAATAAAGCTTTCTCATTAAAAAAACATTTTTTACATTAAACAACTTTTTTCTTACACAAGTTGCACGTTATGAGCCACAAACAAGAAATGATAATAGCTGTTTTTTGTTGTTGTTGTTGTTCTTAACATTTGTTTCGTTGATTCATTACGATTATACTAAATCCGTGGAAATAAGCTGCATATTTTAAAATAGGGGTTTACAAGGACACTTTTCTAACAGAGATCGTGCTGTTTAATACTTATAAAGAAATAGATGGCGAAATGGCATTACATTTGTTTGGCATATACATGTATAATTCACATTTGATGACGTTGTCAATGAAACAACATATCATGTAGTAATATTTGTAATTCGTCAGACAAGACTGGTAACTTATCTGTTTTCATAATATGATGATAAATGTGAAACAGATGTTAGTCAAATATATCTTAATTTATCATTATATTTAAAGATATGTATGTTACAGATTCAAGAGGCATCGTTTAATGATAAATGTATGTCAGATTAGTAATTGTATTCCAGTTTAATAAAACAAGGACAACCAGTAATAGATTATGCAATCCATATCTTGGGACGACAGTCTCCTTTTCTCTCCAGAATTTAAGTGGAACACTTTAGGCTAATATGTCTTTATCTTTTTTTAATGTGTTAAACTCAACTTTAGAATTGCCTAAGACTAAAATATTACACTTCCTCGTGTAGTATAACCCCAAATATTATAAAATATTTCATTTTCTCGCGTAGTATAACCCCAAATATTACAAAATATTTCACTTCCTCGCGTAGTATAACCCCAAATATTATAAAATATTTCACTTCCTTGCATAATTTAACCCCAAATATTAAGTAAAAAAAAAGCATATAAAGATTAAATAGATTTACTTTTGATTTCTTTATCCAAAATTACAAAATGAGACAAACAGCGGTTTCCATAATTTCATGCCTTTTTCGTTGACTTCAAAAATATATTATTTATAATTGCTGAGATAGAACCAACATACTTAAGTGATGTATTTCATAGAACATTGCGTATTTATAGCTAGATAAAAATTAAAAAAAGTATATTTATAAAACAAAGAATATTTTTAAACGATCAATTCAAACAACTCTTAAGGATTTTAAATATGAGTTTCTCTATAGAAATATTCAAGAAGATCCTAAAATCTTAAGGTTTATTTACGAGAGAAGCTCGGCAAGAACCACTCAGAACTTCTTATTGAATGATTCAGCAAGATCGTAAGTTCGTAAGGTTTGTTTATGATAGATAAGAATGTTATTTAGTAGTAAAGTTATATATATATATCGTTTTAGTTTTATTAATCAGTGTTTCTGACTTAGTTTTGCAGATTCAAACCTACAAAAATGTTTTCCACCTAATCGTAATGAAAGCTCGTTTAAAGTATTTAAAATTGTTTAAGTAACCCCTATCTTTAACCCTGCAGTTTCCTCGATAGTCTGAAACACTATGTTATTATTATATAAAGGTTTTGACTTCACGGAGCTATTTCCAAGCTGATGGTTTCGGTGCTTCTCAAAGCTAAAAGCATAAAGAAGAAAGACAAGCAATGACCGAGCTCGGGAACATCGCTCTGAAAAACCAATTAATATCAAAACTTCAAAACATAATAAGGGGTGTGTTTTACACTTTTACGAGGATGTTATATTACATAGCAATAAGATTTATCAAGAAAGGGGAGGATGATAAAAAAAAAGATTAAATTCCCTGTATTTGTTATTTAAGAATGTTAAATAATTATTCAGCATAATGTTGATTTTTTATTGGAGTTATATTATGCATGGTTACTTATCATGAAATTTGGTTGAATGAACGGCAACGTCGTCCTCTATAATTGTGTTTCTACAACAGGCTAAACAATCTATCAAAAAAACCTATTTATCATTAAAGATGTTCGTGTTAAAAATTGAAAATATATACATCTAGAAAACGTTTAGAAGACTTTTGGGGTAATGGTTACAGAAGAGTATAGGGTCTAAATTCTCCTTCCATGACATTACATCTTAACTACAAATGGCTACCCACAAGACATGTTACTATGGTGTAACCGCTAATTATTACAAGCAAAGCACAGAAAAGGGTGTCAAACTCTTTCTTAACACTGGATCAGGTTTGCTAGCAGCTGTGCAGTTAGGGATTTGTTATTTATCTAATTCTCTTAATTTTATCTACTGCCTTGAAAATTACAACTTATTAAACCACACATGAAGTTCTCAAAATAATAAAATTAACTACACTCAAGTTGGGATTATTATTGTTTAAACAAACTTTAAAACCCATTAGTTTCTAAGTTTATACCTTAACAGAAAAAATACAAAACATTTTTACATATTGTCGTATATATTCACGTTTCATTTTTTCATGTAACTTATGCTGAGTTTTGCACGAGCTCTACGTTTGACTGTTGAAATTAATGGGCTAAATTCAACATCCAAAATCATATATAAATGAAAAGTGTAAAGAATACTAAGAGAGAAATACAATTTCAAAAAGGTTGACTCGTGAAAGGAAGACTCAAAATTTGTTTGTTCATCTTGTAATCCATAAGTTATACAATTTTTGTGAATTAAGTACATTGTGACATAATTAGATTTTTCAGTTTTAAATTTATATTTCGATTCTATATTTCATTAGTGAATTGAACTTTCAATGTGAAGGTTAAACACAGGTAAAAATTTGTTACGTAAATTTAACCTAACAAGTATGTATCTGTACATAGAGATATATTTATATTTTTCATAATTATGAAGTCAGACATATTTTTTAATACAAACAGGCTAAAGTTCCATTTCAAAATAAATAATATGTATTTCTAAACGATTTACATCTCTTCTTCAAGACGTGACAGTTTATAAACATGCATTTGCGTCCACCGGAGTGACAGTAAAATTATTTCTGCCCAAGAACACATTCTTTGTCCGGAAGTGTCAAGAAAGGTTATTTTTCTTGTTACAACCAATTATTTATAAGCAGCCAAATTAGTAGTTAGATAGAACTTTATTACACTGAGTAGTGTGGAGTAAATACACGTTCATCTGCAAATAGCCAATTACATTTTCTCAACTGTTATTCTTACAGGTTTGCTTAAAACATTAACGCAATGGTCACTCTCAATTTATCAAAGTTCCAATAAAGAAAGAAAATTAACATCCTCAGATACACTTAACAATGTGCCAAGTTTTTTCTTTTAAGAAAATAGAATAAGTGACTTTCACGTAGGAGTTTTGTTTACAGATTTCTCATACTACTTGTAGAAATTATCATAAATAATTTATTAACATATTCACATGAATAAGACATAAGAAAGAGCACATAATAAAAAACAAATATACCCAGAGGCAGAATACGCAATATAAGAAGACATATGGAGAAAATTAAAATAAGAGTAGTAACAAATACAGTGAGGCACAGAAGAATAGGTATGAAAACATAAAATCGGTGCATATTTTTTGTTTGGGAAAAAAAAGTAGCAAAGAAAAATAAAGAATATATTAACGAGAATCTAAAAGGTCAATAGTTTGCAAAAAAAATCCCTTCGATTTTAATTAGATTAAATGTTGTAAATAATGCCTTACGAATCCTCTGCCTTACGAATAATTTTAACATTGTAAGAAAGCTGAGTTTATAAAAAAAAAGGCGGAAAAATAATACCTAAAATACTTCATTTAAATCGATATGCTTGAAAATATTTTTTATAGCTTTGAGGAATTTTATGTTCCAACTAATCGTGTGTAGATATTCCGTCTGTATTCTACCAGAATTGGAATAGACAGGTGACTCATGGCTTTACTGAGAAATACAAGCTTAATAATTTACTGGAAAATGTAGCAGGAAATAAACTGTAGCAATCCATTTTATAGAAAGCTCCTTAGTCAAGTATAACAAGTTTTAATCTTCACTTTAGATATCAAAACAAGATGAACATTTTAAATAAATTGATTAATCAAATCTAGTTTAACTTCATATACAAGATTATCTATTAGAGTAATGCTCGTTTACTTACACAACAAGTAAGACTAAACTAGTAATTCACAAACTACTACTCACTTTGAGATCTGACTGACTGTTGCATCTTTCATTTCCGAGTAACGAATGATAATTCTGACTTCCAGCTAGCTAGCAAAGTGTCTGAATTGCATTTAACAAACTGTTTACCCTCATAGTGATTCACTTAAGCAGTATGGCAGATAATAAACTTTAATATTTTACACGTTTTACTGTTTTGAATATTGAAATCACCATTATCGGCCAATTTTTAACAGCTAGTTGTGGGAAATAGCAAATTTAGCATATTATAAAAAGCCTAATATTTGTAGAAATTACCGTAACAAGCAATTCACAAACGAACAATGTCATACTTCCTCAGAACACTGGTTCCTCCTTAGAAGTATCTTTATCATTATTACACATCCCAGTTACTTAACTTTCAAAAAACCCAATCTGTTAGATGAATAAACTTTTCACAATACAAAAAAATGACGAAAAAATAAGTAAATCGTTACTGTTAGATTATCGCTATCTTCTGACATATTCCGTTTTTAATTTCGGGGAATTCATATTTTTTTCCTCTTCAAATGCTGACTTATTGGACAATCTATTGTTGGCTTAACGCCAGTCAGTGGTCATATTAATGTCTAACTGTTTGCCATTTGCAAAATGTCTGGTTTAAGTAACCTCCATTCTGTTTATCATATTGTAGATAGCCGAGAGCTATTATTTCTATTAATAAGAAACTTCCTATGTGAATCACAGTAAAGAACAGTTACCTAGGTAAGGGTAATCTTACAGTACGTCAGTGGGACAGCGGTAAGTCTTCGGACTTACAACGCCAAAATCAGGGGTTCGATTCCTCTTAGTGGACATAGCAGCTAGATCGACGTGGCTTTGCTATAAAAAGAAACACACACACACACACACTGGTTTCACAAGATACCGTACACTAATCCATTGATTGTTTTCAATACAGAATTTGAATCTTGCTTGTGTTAACTTAGATTTGGATATATTTTTTCATCCTCTTCGAGTTCTATAGCGATATCATATTATTTATCAGTGCCTTTTCACTGGTTAACTTTAGCTTCTCAGGAATATACACAAAGCACAAAATAAGCACTAAGCAACACAATGGGCTATCTGCGCTCTGCCCACCACGGGTATCGAAATCCGTATAACCAGCATTCTGCAGAAGTCTTTCAAGGTTTGTTAGGTGGTACAAGCAATAAATAGCTGGATAAAACAGTGAAAGCTACTAGACATGATAATTACTAACCTACAAATTTCATTTATGGAAGATTATTTGAGAATTATCATTGCTATTTGCAACTGCTATGAGGCTGCATTAATTAAGACATAAAACCGATTATATTGTCACGTGCTCGAAAGTGAAACAACCCACACACACCAACAGACTGTAAAGTCTCAAACCTAGTGCACGAGGGATGAAGAAGTCGATGTAGAAAACTATTGAATCATTTGGTGTGGCTTCTGTCTATCCACAATTGTCTGATAAATGTCTGTGATTACTGTAAACCAGCTGAACAAGTGATACCATACACACAAGAACACCTATATAGAGGTAAAGTTACTGTTGTGGTGTCTGTGATTACTGTAAACCAGCTGAATAAGTGATATCTTACACACAAAAACACCTACATAGAGGTAAAGTAAGTGTTTTGGTGTCTGTGATTACTGTAAGCCAGCTGAACAATTGATATCTTACACACAAAAACACCTATTTAGAGGTAAAGTGACTGTTGTGGTGTCTGTGATTACTGTAAACCAGCTGAACAATTGATATCTTACACACAAAAACACCTATTTAGAGGTAAAGTGACTGTTGTGGTGTCTGTGATTACTGTAAACCAGCTGAACAATTGATATCTTACACACAAAAACACCTACATAGAGGTAAAGTGAGTGTTGTGGTGTCTGTGATTACCACAGAACCACTGAGGGAGAGTAAATAGTTAAAAGTTAATACAAAATGCATAACTCAAGGTACGTATATTAATTTCCTAATAAACAAAGGCAAATTTCTACATTAAGGAAGACAGGATTAGCCCTACTACATGGCCTTCTATACATCTTTTGTGTTAAAATACGTAAGAGATTAAACATTTTTTCTACTCCACATATTTTAGTAATTAAGTAAAATGCAACCCAAACGGTGGAAACATAGTCAAGTATTAACCACTGACCAATGACCTTCAATTTGCTGTCGGTGTATCGTGTCCTCTCTTTCTTGAAATCTACCCTACAGCGGTAGGCACCTTCGTCGGATTCTCTAACAGGATCTAACTCCAACGACCCTGGCGGATTCGTGGTCATTAAGACGTGAGCTCTGCTTGAGAGATGATCCACGGAAGAATGTCTTGCTTGATCAAAGGGAATTTTTCTGGCATCGAGGGTGTATATTGGTGTTGGAGACTTATCCTTATACCATAGGACTAGAGCAGGCGAATCGTCATCAATTTTTGGTGTAATGTTGCAGGGCAGGCTTGTCTTCAACCCCGATATCGCAATAACTACTGTAAAAAGTGTGTTAAAATACGAATTAACAAATTAGAGAAAAACAACATAACCAGTAAAAGTAAAGTAGATAAAAAAATCTTAAAACTATTTTCACTAAAGATGAGAAACAACTTCAGATAAATGTATATTTATTTTATCCGACATTTCGGATAACGCCTTTTTCAAGGGTCTATGAATGTTGCAGGTCACTATAATTTAAAATCAGTTTTATAACCTGTGACGTTTATACACCCCTGAAAAAGGCGTAAACCGAAATGTCGGATAAAATAAATATACATTTATCTGAAGTTGTTTGTCGTATTCAGTGAAAATGGTTTTCATCCTTCAGTCAACACTGAACGTTTTTTTTAAAGATAAAACTCTTAAGAATAAACAAATTAATCAATAGATATATGAAATTTATTATTTTGGTACTCTGGTTAAAACATTCTATAAACTACGAGGCGTACAAAGAGTTAGATAGCTTTCAAAAGTGTATGGTTATACTGTTAAAAGAAGAGCTGATGATCTTTAAATTAACAATGCGCCTAGAGACTTGATAATTATATTAACTTCAGGAGTACTTAACCCTTAATAACTTTGTGTTAGCATGAAATTAAATATTCAATCTACTGTTCGTATTGCTTACTGCCTTCTCAAATTGAATAAAGCTGAATTTAACATTAAACTTTGAATTTTTCTGCCCACAGTTTTCACACTTAATCTACCATTCAGTAATTGCAAACACAACTTGTGTTGTTAATACAAAAACATTTGTGGATCACAACTTACTATATCCCAGACATAAATAATTGTTCTCTCACTTTACAAGCTTTAACGCGATATTTATTTCCCTCCAGTGGCTCAACGGAAAGTCTGAAGGCTTATAATGCTAAAAACCAGGTTTCGACTCCCGTTGTGAACAGATAACCCATTGTGTAGCTTGGTGCTTAAAAACAAACAAGCAAATTACATTTATTCAAAACTATAATTAGAACTAGATGTAAGCACCCCAGCTCTCAGTAGGTTACTTCAACTCTTCATAGGCCTAACATGGCTTACTAGTTAGGGTACTTAAAATGTAATTTGCAGGACGGAAACATTCATCAAACATGCTCGTCCTATTAACCGTAGGAGCGTTATAATATGACGTTCAATTCTAATATTCGTTGGTAAAGAGTAGTCCAAGAAGGGTAATTACTAGATACCTTCTCTCATTAAAATTAGGAACGCTAGCAAAGAACACACTCTTGAGCACTTTGCGCGAAAATTCAACAAACAAACTTTTTCACAAGCCTCACACGCAGATTCAATTTGGAGATAAAATTAAATTTAAGTGAGCAGATTTTACAAATAACATGATCATTTCAATCAGAAACATAAGTAGAAAAAGTCCAGATTATCTTTAAATAAAGTGTGACAAAATAGTTTAAAAAAAAATAACGTTTTTCCCAAAATGCAAAGAAGGAGACCTTTAAAAATGGTCTATGATATGAAACCACGGGTAAATCGAAAATTACTTTAAAAATGTGAATGAAAATAGGAAGATTAACACCATGTTAAAATAAAACAGTGGTTGTAAAAAGTTATAAGGGCAACTCCCCTTACTTTAAAAATGTGAATGAAAATAGGAAGATTAACACCATGTTAACATAAAACAGTGGTTGTAAAAAGTTATAAGGGCAACTCACCTTACTTTAAAAATGTAAATGAAAATAGGAAGATTAACACCATGTTAAAATAAAACAGTGGTTGTAAAAAGTTATAAGGGCAACTCACTTTACTTTAAAAATGTAAATGAAAATAGGAAGATTAACACCATGTTAAAATAAAACAGTGGTTGTAAAAAGTTATAAGGGCAACTCACCTTTTTCTTTTCTTTTTTTTTTTTGCTTCTACAAGGTAGTTGTAAGAGAAGTGTAATAATTGCTTAATCGAATGTAGTCAATTAATTGATTAGCAAATGTCACTAATTGTCCAACTAACTAATTACATAACTAACCAACAGATTTATCTAAAGACGCAGCTTTGCATTAAGAGAACCTAGGAAAAGTATCACTACTTTACACCAGACTGTCAAGAAAATTAATGACAGACCATTAGTTCGTGGTTAATATAGACTCCAATAACGAGCTTAAAGTAAATCTAAGAGACAAGTGGTGACATAAGGGCAGAGTAATGACGCCAAGAACAGATAGCAAATGAGCATTCTAACTCAAGGCTATCAATGAACTACAGTTGTCATTAACCTCGAGCTACTGGACTCATGAAAACAAGAGTTCTTGTGATGAACTGGTGGCCATGTGCACATATCAATAAGCAAGTTAACATATACAAATTATGTATAAAAGCTGTGTAGGTCTTAACGGTAGTCATCCTGCATGTAAGGTTCTACCAAGCTGCTAGCCTGCCCATACCAATACAACTCTCCGCTTCTCAGTTAGCATAATTCTGTTTTGTAACTAAGGTCTTAAAGTTTTGTTAACTATCAGTCTTGAGTGTGTGATTGTACGTTGATAAATGTGAATAATTGTCATTGTCTAATGTTTGGAAAATGTAAGGTTCTCATTAGTATTAATAAATGTACGTGTTACATTTAAAAAGCCTCTGACTCATTTCTTATTATCACGGATGTCTCCTCGAGTTGGATATCTGTATGAAAACGTCACCGACTGCATTCCTGGTATTGTAAAATATATACTATTTGCAATGGGTGACTGTCTCACCAATATTGCCTATTACCAATTCGTACAGCTTCTCCTGGATTTTAGATTAACCAACGACAGATTGTGAAGAATAAGAAAAAGAGTTTATTATAAGATAAGGGTATAAGACAAAATAATTAGATATGGCTACAGCTACAGCATAAATTAAGACACAAAAGGGGATAAAAACAAAAACACAGGCTAAGTAAGAGGTGGCAGCAGGAGCTAGACATTTTACAGTTGCTATTCCATTATTCTATAGTAAACCATAGGAAGGTCTTAAAAGTGTTTAGATGCAACTGATGAAGCAGCACACAATTCAGGCTAGACAGACTTACAAACACGGACATAATCAGGCTAATATTATTAATATTGGAGTATACTATGGATTGGCCGGCATGGCCAGGTGGATTAAGGCGCTCGACTCGCAAACTGAGGGTCGCAGGTTCGAATCCCCGTCACACCAAACATGCTCGTCCTTTCAAAGAGGGAAGGCTGTCAAGTGGGTTGCATCCTTGACGTAAGAAACAGCTTTAGAAACGATGGCAGAGAAACTATGGATTAAGACTAGCCCAAGATTTTATACTATTAAGAGAGAGGCTACTAAGGGAATACGGAAAATGTGAAACACCAAACAATGTGATGAAACAAATAAACATTCTAGCACAGTAACGAGGCTTACACACACCCAAGTAAGCTAATGATGCAAGATAAGTTTAAATCTTACTAGGAGTTTGGTTTGGTTGGAATTTCACGCAAAACTACACGAGGGCTATCTGTGCAAGCCTTCCTTAATTTAGCAGCGATGGACTAGAAGAAAAGCAGCTAGTAAACACCACCCACCGCCATCTCTTAAGCCACTCATTTACCAACAAACAAAGGGACTGACCATCAGATTATTATGCCCCCACAGCTGAAAGGGCGAATATGTTTGATGGCAGGGTCTTGCTATGAAAAATCGTTAGTTGGTAACATAATTGGCTTAAATGTGAATGAAAGAAATAATCCACGAGAAACGCTCTTAGATTCAACAGAAGTAACTACAAGAGAAGAGTTTAGAAAAACAAACAAGTTTTTTCCACATTCAATCAATACATATGAGAAACAACAGACCAGATTGGCAAGGTAAATTGGCAAACGGAAAATGTTTCAAATGTGGTATCCAACGACACACTGTTAGAGACTTTTTTAGAATAGAACATAAGCAAGTGCATGCTTCAACTGTGGACGAAACGGCTATATCCTGCAATTGTAATTGCCCAAAAAAGAGAGAGAGTTTACAAAACAACTAGATACAAACCTCTTAAGCAAAAGCTTTGAGGGCCAATAGAAAATAAGTGATTGCATAAGTTACAAAAATGTAATAATTCCATTTGTAATTACGAAAAAAAACTAAAAGTAACTTTAACAGTATTGATTGATAGACTGAGTATGTATAGTGCCAACAAAATTTCACCAGTAGTCAGTCTAAAGATAGAGGACATAGAATGTCAGTTATTAACTGACACAGCCACTCTGCTAAGTGCATAAATGGTAAAAAAAAATCCAAAATTATTGGATAATGAAAGGAAAGAAATTTCAAAAAGTATCTTAACTTCTATAACATAGCATTCGGTTAAAATGTTAGGAAAGCATTTTGTTCAAATAGAAGCTGTAGATTCAAAACTTGAATATTCAAAAAGAATATTAGAGCAGGCAAGATTTCCTAAGAAATTATGACATTGATATATCCATTACCAGAGATAGACCACACATAGAAATGGAGATTTTACGTTTTGAAGAAACCATACCTTCAGATTTATATGTTAAGGTCAAAACTTACAGTAATTTCATGCTGAATTAGTCATGTAGACAGATACCAAACAGGGACAGTGAGCACATTCGTGAGGTGATGGATCAGAAGTCAAAACACAATAGTACTGATACTCTTAATAGCAATACATGCCACATTCAGTATAAAAGTAGATTTAAGCATGAAAAAAATATAGGTAGTGTTACTGAGGAGGAAAAATACTAAGCCTACTAATAGTAGCTGAAGAGTTGAAATGAGCATAAAACCAATAGTTAGATGTAACGCAACAAACAATAATGAAGTGAATACAGATAAAATATAAATAAAGAATCATAGGCAAGTGCATAACTACACTGGCCCCTCAGATGAATCTACCCCTATGGACATGCAACAGACCATCCAAGCAGAAGAGTCTGTTAGAATGTGTGTCTCCAATATCAATTAGTTACAGAGGCACCTGAAAGAAGTCAAACTGTTATTGAGGCTAACGTAGAAGCTGATAGAAATGTAAAAATTAGGT